GACCTTTGGTCTGGCTCTATTAAAGCGTGCTCACATAGAGATTCGAACCCATAACCTTTGGTCTGGCTCTATTAAAGCGTGCTCACATAGAGATTCGAACCCATGACCTTTGGTCTGGCTCTGATACCAAATTAAAGCATGTGCTGGCTCTGATACCAAATTAGAGCATGTGCTCCATCTCAACTAAAAGCCTAAGCTGATAATTGGATTGCACATTAATGGTTATATGCTCAACACGTATGTCCTATATTACACATTGCCATGTTTCCAAAAATTTACTTGGCATTGCCCTTTCTCATTATCCTCTTCACCAATATTATTTACATGGGAAGGTGTTTTATTTTCCCTCTGATCTTCTGCTAGGTATGTCCTATATTACTCATTGTCATGTTTCCAAAAAATTTAATTGGCATTGACCTTTCAAATTATCAGCTTCACCAATACCTTTCAAATTATCGGCTTCACCAATATACCAATTTCATGGAGAAGATTGAAGAAATCCAAATGCCTTCCAACAATAAACATAAACCTAAGCAACATAAAGATTTACACAGATTAGATCCCATACCAATATAACAAAAAAATATTGATAAAAAAAACATAGGCTCATTACCCTTTAAATGCTAATCCATCGAAACATTACAACACACAAAAATAGGTCAGGGTAATAAAAATAGGGGCATTTCATAAAAGGATTTAGCAGTAGCGGCCAAAACCACGTCCATGCTGAGAAACTACCGGAACATGAGCAGAGCGTCTAGGCGGAGACGGAGGCGGAGGGCCGTTCTGGTTGGTGTTAGCTTCAACATTTTCAGTAAACATTCTTAATAGCTCCTGCAATACCGTCAAGAAACAAGCATCAGAAATTCCTAAGCAAAAGCTTGGAATATGAAACTTGATTTGGGTTTGGCGAAAAAAACCAAAACCGCAGCCTAAGAAACCATTAGCAAAGCACAAGAGTTCCACCTGCTCCCATGAGTGGGAGTTTTATAGTTGTGGTGGTGAAGAAAAGTGCAATCCAAGTCATGGTCAAATTGAAAACCACACCATAAATGTTGTTGGAATTTGTGGGGTTTACTAACATTAGAATGTCAACAACAACACAAATTCCATTGAAAAAGCATTGACAAGCTTTTAACCAAGTGTCTTTCTTGTTGGTTATGTGAGGAAGAAATGTTGGGTTGATTATGTGATAATGTGAGAAAGAAAGAGTTATATATATAGTAACACGGAGGCAGTTGCTTCCCATCGCCACCCTTATTTAACATGGAGAAACTAGCCTTGAGTGTGAGGAGTATGGTAGGTTGTAGGTAGTAGTAGTACTCCAAATTAATTAAAGGAGTCTGTATGTTTCCCTTTTCTGTTAGTTTCACAAAAGTAGCAAATTATATTATACTGTGAATTTGATCTTTGTAACTTCCCTTTCAGACTATTTTATGCTCTTAGCTAGCTTGTCTTCTTTTTTGAGTGCATGCATGTTACTGATTTTATTTTTTTTTTCTTGGGAAGGTGCTCTATCTTCCCTCTGATCTTCTGCTAGGTATGTCCTATATTACTCATTGTCATGTTTCCAAATATTTACTTGGAATTGCCCTTTCTCATTATCCTCTTCACCAATATTATTTACACGGGAAGGTGTTCTATCTTCCCTCTGATCTTCTGCTAGGTATGTCCTATATTACTCATTGTCATGTTTCCAAAAATTTACTTGGCATTGTCATTTGTCATTATCCTTTTCAAGTATACCAATTTCATGGAGAAGATTGAGAAAATCCAAATGCCTTCCATTAATAAACATAAACCTAAGCAAAATAAGTTTTGAACAGATTAGACCACGTACCAAAAGAACCAAAAAAAATATTGATAAAAAAAAAATAAAAATCATGGGCTCATTACCCATAAATGCTTATCCATCAAAACATTACAACACTCAAAAATAGGTCAGGATAAAAAAAAATAGGGGCATTTCATAAAAGGATTTAGCAGCCAAAACCACGTCCATGCCGAGAAACTATAGGCGGAGGAGACGGAGGGTGGTTCTAGTTGGGGTTAGCTTCAACATTTTCAGTAAACATTCTTAATAGCTCCTGCAATCCAGTCAAGAAACAAGCATCAGAAATTCTTAAGCAAAAGCTTAGAATATGAAACTTGATTTGGGTTTGGCCAAAAAAACCAAAACCCCAACCTAAGAAACCATTAGCAATGCACAAGAGTTCCACCAGGGGAAGGCTGCAACTTGCTCCCATGAGTGGGAGTTTTATAGTTGTGGTGGTGAAGAAAAGTGCAATCCAAGTCATGGTCAAATTGAAAACCACACCATAAATGTTGTTGGAATTTGTAGGGTTTACTAACATTAGAATGTCAACAACACAAATTCCATTGAAAAAGCATTGACAAGATTTTAACCAAGTGTCTTTCATGTTGGTTATGTGAGGAAGAAATGTTGGGTTGATTATGTGATAATGTGAGAAAGAAAGAATTATATATATAGTAACACGGAGGCAGTTGCTTCCCCTCGCCACCCTTATTTAACATGGAGAAACTGACCTTGAGTGTGAGGAGTATGGTATGTTGTAGGTAGTAGTAGTACTCCAAATTAATTAAAGGAGTCTGCATGTTTCCTTTTTCCGTTAGTTTCACAAAAGTGACAAATTATATTGTACTGTGGATTTGATCTTTGTGACTTCCCTTTCAAACTTTCAAACTATTTTATGCTCTTAGCTAGCTTGTCTTCTTTTTTGAGTGCATGCATGCTACTGATTTTATTTTTTTTCTTGGGAAGGTGTTCTATCTTCCCTCTGATCTTCTGCTAGGTATGTCCTTTATTACTCGTTGCCATGTTTCCAAAAATTTACTTTGCATTGCCGTTTCTCATTATCCTCTTCACCAATATTATTTACATGGGAATGTGTTTATCTCCTATATTACTCATTGTCATGTTTCCAGGCAGAGTGTCTAGGCGGAGGCGAAGGTGGAGGAGGCGGAGGGTCATTCTGGTTGGGGTCAACTTCAGCATTTTCAGTTAACAATCTTAATACATCCTGCAATCCAGTCAAGAAACAAGCATCAGAAATTCCTAAGCAAAAGCTTGGAATATGAAACTTGATCTGGGTTTAGCCAAATAAACCAAAACCGCAGCCTAAGAAACCATTAGCAATGCACAAGAGTTCCACCAGGGGAAGGCTGCAACTTACTCCCATGAGTGGGAGTTTTATAGTTGTGGTGGTGAAGAAAAGTGCAATCCAAGTCTTGGTCAAATTGAAAACCACACCATAAATGTTGTTGGAATTTGTGGGGTTTACTGACATTATAATGTCAACAACAACACGAATTTCATTGAGAAAGTATTGACAAGCTTTTAACCAAGTGTCTTTCATGTTGGTTATGTGAGGAAGAAATGTTGGGTTGGTTATGTGATAATGTGAGAAAGAAAGAGTTATATACATAGTAACATGGAGGCAGTGGCGGAGTTATGTGATGGTCGGATTCCAGGTCATCGTGCCATCACCCAACATCCTTAATGTTGAGATTAACATGAACAAGAAATATAAGAATAGCATAAAGTAAAGAATACAAGATTTACATGGTTCGACAATGTGTCTACGTCTACGATAGTGAAGTTATTCTTTATTAATTGTGATGGTGATAATAAAACCTCCGGTTACAAGCATACATGTATAAATATTTAAATACACATATTGTATGAGTCTTGATGACCTAACTTGCTCCATTCCTATATATTTCTTATATGAGATATACTCAACATTTGACATAAGGTCTATCACTTGATCACCTTGTGAATATCACTTCAGGCTTAATGTTGACACTCCCCATAACAGTGAAAGCAGATCAGAGCTGTAGTTGTCCAATTGCTCTTGCCTTGTTGAGATTATATTAAACACGACACACATATTGCACAGTGATGCCAGCTCTCTTGGAATTTCAAAATCCTCTTAATTCAAAATATAAATTCTACTCCGTATATTATAAAATAACTAAACATCACATATTTTTAAAAAGTAAATAACATGAAATGGGATAGTGTAGTACCGCCTTTGGCCCTGTTTGGTAACATAGTTAGCTTATTTGACCATTATTAACTATTTGACTTGGTTAAACAATCAATATGAATGTTTGATTAATTAGCTTTTTGTAATAGGTTATTGCTCCAAAATGCTAAAATTCAAAAAACTGCTCAAAACAGCTTTTTGAAAAAGTTATTCTGCATGTAATAAGCTAACAGCTAATTTACCAAACACTTTTCTACAATCAGCTAATGTTATCAACTAATCAAACCACTAACTCAATCAGCTAACAGCTATTTACCAAACACTCTTTTGTTTTTTTTTTCTTTCAGTTTTGTTAACAGCAAGCACCACCAACCTGTATCTAAGTGAGCCTTCTTGCCAATATCTTCCACACTTAAAACAGTACATCAAACCATCTTTTGGAACCAATTTTTGTGACATCTTGCAGACTTGCAGGATTTGTAATACCATTCCCCAACACTTTCTATCCCAACCACCCTATAAGCAGCAACGTAACCCAATATTCACTAGTCTGCATGGTTTAAGAAAAATTACCAAAAGACATCTATCACTCTAAATTTATTCTTAATATAGTACTTAATAAATTAGTAAAATTACTTGTCTCTTTCCAATATATATTAAACATTGTCGTGATAGCATCTAACCGGATTGAATTTTAATACCCATATAACTCTTTAAAGTATATTTCATTTAAATTATGTTAAAATTTTATATATTACGTACTGAAAAGAATGTTATATGTCCTAATTTAATTTTCGAAAATGTGAAATTTTCAAACATAATTTTGTCTATATTTTAAAATGCCTCATTCCCCGAAATTTTAAACATTATTAAATTCTCAAAAATGTAACAAGGGAGTGAAGTGCACCCTTAGGATGCCATACTTGGGATCAAGTAGGAAGAATCACTGCCACACAAGAAGAATCACTTCTTAAATGAGATGAGTATGTATAAGAAGATTGCTGAAAAACACGATCATCATTGATTTAGATGAGAAGGTAAAAACAGAAGATCACTGCCACACAGTATGCCGCAGACAATGATGTCATCATTCCTTGTTACCAATGAATACAAGAAGGGTTCCGGTTCACACAGAAATACAGATGATTAATTCTTTATTTTCAAAGAACTCGAAATGCATATGGTCATAAAAACTGCCAAAAAAAAAAGGAAAAAATTAACTCAGTGATGTGTTCCCCCATCACCATGGCCACCTTCCTTTTCATTATGCACAGCCGCTCTTAGTTGACGCTGCTCTTCCTTGTAGATCCGATTCCTGCGCTGGTACTGCATTGAAGAGAACAACCCTTGTTAGTGAAACGAAATAATAATAATAATAATAATAATAATAATAATAATAATAATAATAATAATAATAATAATAATAATAATTCAATAAAAGCAAAGGTTTTTTTTTCAGATGTGGGCTTAAAGATGTATCAATAAATTTAAATTTAATACTGTATAATGGGTATGCATGTTAAATTGCACAAAGGCGGATGTGAAAACAATGCACCCACCCCAAATCCCATCCCCAGATAAACTAATCCAAATTCACAAAAGTATTATGATTTTCTTCCCCTGATAAGTACCAAAAATAGGAAGACATTAAGCAGGAAAAGCACAAATATATTTATTTTCTAAACATTTGTTTTAATCGGAGAATTATATCAAACTGAAGAGAAAGCTGATTTTTGTGCACCCTTTTGGTCAAAAGGGCAAATCCCTAACACTGTCCTTCTTTGGTTGATTCTTTGGATAGGCATTGCTAGACAACAATAAATGTCTTTTACGAGAAAGCTTTCATGGGCTTCAGTGCCTTATGTTCAACTTTTTGTTAGGTTTCATAGGTGGGAATGAGCACAAAATTATTTTTTAGGGTTTTTAGCACTTTTGGCCACTAAGATAGTTAGATAGGTAAGAATGGTAAAAAATAGTGTCCCTAAACAGGTGTGCCAAAATCACCAACCAATTTTGCACCAAGATGGCTATTTTGATCCCTCCCATCACAGCAGTCATTAGTACTGTTTTAAACCATGTTCTAATCATCTATGTCGAAAATTAAAGTAGTGGTAACATGGGTACCTAGAACATATCAAACACACTTGTGACAATTTAACAAAATCCTATACATCAGGTCCTCAAACCACCACCTTGGTGCATAACTGCACAATTAGGGGTGATATTGGCTCAACTCTGTTACTAAGGAACTAATTTCTGGTCTTGCTTATCTTAGGGACTAAAAGTGCAATTAACCTTAAATTGTTGGGATGGTTCTTGGTGTAGTGGCCTTCGGCCTTCCTTTTAAGTGTACTTTCCTGATCTTTCAATACCAAGCTGCAACAGAAGTGTCCTTGTACCTCTCGTCCAACGGGAAAGTTCTTTGGAGGATTAGACTTAGAAGGCACCTTGATGACCAGGAAATTAATGATTTTCTAAATTTCAGCATGACAGTAGAGATGCAGGGGTGGAAGACAATGATATGGATGAAATCCAGTAGAAACTAGAAAGATCTTCCCAGTCAAATCTTTTTACACGACTTGAGAATCAAGATAATCTGAAATTTTTTCCATGTGAAGAGATCTCATATTTTCTATTTGTTCTGGAAGCCACAAGAAGGGCAACTGTTACAGGAGATATATCATACGAAGGGGGGATTTGATCATAACCCGTTTGCTGCCTTGTGCCAAAGAAACAAAGTACCCGCTATTTGTGCATGGACTTGGCAATACTGGATCATTATCAAAACAAATGTTCTTGGTAAAGTAGTTTTGTCTTCATAGGGCTAGGGCACCAAAGTGGTTCTTAGATAACCGCCCACCATCAAATTTTCCATATCTAGCTACAATAACTCCCTGCCAATGCTTCCCCTCTCTTGAGAATCCCCACAACCATTTATCTAGAAGAGCTTTATGGAAGAGCTACAGATTTTTTATATCTAGACCACCATGAGTGAGTGGGTGGGGGGGTGGGGGGGGGGTGTGGGGGGGTTGAAGTTCCTGATGGCAAGGGAACTTTTCTTTCTCCCAACCCCACAGGCAATGGCACTGGAATTTCTCCAGTCTTTTGCAACATTTGCAACAGACACCAGGATTTCAAAATGGGACATAAGATAGGTTTATATGCCTCTAAGAAATGCATTGGTTGGTGTCAAACTTCCACATTTCGAAAGATATTCCCTGTTTGGTAAAATAGTTAGCTTATCAGCCAATTTTGGCTTATTTAACCACTATTAATTGTTTAACTTGGTTAAAAAATCAATATAAGTGTTTGGTTAATTAGCTTTTTGTAACTCCAAATGCTAAAATTCAAAAAGCTGCTCAAAGCAACTTTTTCAATTAGCTTTTTGAGAAAAGAAATTATACCAAACAGCTATCAGCTAACAACTAATTTACCAAACACATTTCTATAATTAGCTAATGTTATCAACTAGTTATACCCTCTAATTGACCCAATCAGCTAACAACTAACAGCTATCAGCTAACAGTCATTTACCAAACAGGGCCAATACCTTTTCCAGGTAGATAGCGTTTTCTATGACTGGGTACCAACTCATAACATATTTAAAGCAGGTTCCAAACGCAAATCCAAATAAGTAGATGTTAAGGACCCAATTTTGCATCCAAGTGTATCTGCAAGAATCTGAAGGTTCAGTATACCCAATACTTTCTGGAGACTGGCGGTTTATTTTAGTCTCAAAATCAGATGGAAGAGCAAATGCAACAGTTTCAACTTTCAAGTGCCAAATGTTGGAAATATTTGGATCACAAAACAGGATTGAGTCATCCACAAACAGTGACTAGCCAATACAGGTGCAAGTGGGGGAAGGAAATCTAAAGACCATAGAGAAAACCTCCAGACTGAGATCAAGCAATCAGTTTATTGAGGCCTTCCATATAACAAGAATAAAGTGAAGGGGAGATAAAGGGTCAGCTTGTCTTAGCCCTCATGTAGTGCTAAAAAAAAGGCCTGAGGTACTTTCATTTCTGAGGATTGAGAATTTCACAGTAGAAATACATGTCTGAAGCCAATTCCTTCCAAACTTCATCCTCTACATCAGTTCAAACAGAAATTCCATTAACATGGTTGAAGGCTTTTTAAATGAGTAATTTGCAAATCACCCCTCGGATTTCTCTTTTTGGCAAGTAGGGAGATCTTAACAATCTGCATTTATTCCTTAAATGAATAAAAGCATTTTGCTGCTCCAAGGCTAGAGAGAGGATGCAAACCTTCAGTCACAATGCTAGAAGCTTGGAAATGAGTTTGTAAACACTTCAAATCAAGCTAATAGGCCAGCAATCCTTGATCGATAAAATCCTAGGATTGAGCAAAACTACAGATTGTTTTCCTTTAATCCGTTGAATTTTGAAGTAAACCTGTTCTCTTGAACATAGATAAAACATGGACAATAATACCTACTTTGTCCACCAGCATCACCATCAGAAAAATTTGAGTATCCCTAAAGTCAGCTTCTTTTAGGCCACGACATTGCTCTCCAATCAATTTGAACACTGAAAAGGCCCATAGATGGAGGGAGACCAACAATCAAGACTACTCTTTGCCACAATATGGCAGTCACATTTCAACATCCAACTCTAAAGCTCAATTTCATTAGCTAAAGATTTACTACTGCCCACAGCCCACAGCCCACCAATGTTGACCCTTGGCCAGGATAAATTTGGTTTCCCTTGCTAAAGGTAAATGGAAAAATCTTGCATGCTTGCTAACTCTCAGTAGGATGAACACATGTCACTTTTAGGGGGAAATAGATGAAGCAGCCCAACAAGGAGAAGATTCATTGAAGGATAGTACCAATTCCATTTTTCCATAGTGGAATGCAGGGCTTATATTAGATTATTAGTAACAGATGCCATCTCAAGCTCTTCTATTCTATTATTATACATTTCAGAAATTCCCTGGGGGACCTTGAGGGCATTGTTTGGACGTTGAAGAAATCACAGTTTAGCCAGGCTTCTTGTTTTCTTGTTCTTCATAATTATTAGACACACTCTATAATTATTTCACTTAGATATTTCACAATCTTATAAAGGTCTTTTCTTTCCAGGAGGGTGTTCTTGTAGATCATATATTTATGAACATCTTTCTTTCTCACCCACCTTGAACTCCCCTCATTGAAATTTCTCACTTCAAGATTGAGAATTATTGATGCATTCAGTTGACACAAAAAATTCAAAAACCCTAGGACATCTCCATCGTTCTCATTGCTCCAAGGTGCAAAGGCATCCTTTCACCTGATAGAACTACTTTTCTTCCCAGACTCTTTATAAGCACAAATTTGTGATGAGGTGTGCAATATGTCTCATGGAACAAATCTTTTAGATAAGCAAATAAAGAGGACCCAAGGACATGACATAACATTTGTGACATAATTACTCACTTCCAGCATTTGGTTGTTTGTAATGCCGCACCAACACATTCAGACAGTCAAAGAGAATATGCAATGTTGAATTCACTCAAGGGAGGCTACTAATCCCTTACACTTAAGCCTCGATATATAATCATCAATCCGCCATCAAATATATGATGTTCTTATGCAGAGGGATGGGCCTTCACATTTGAAATAGAACCTTCAATAAGAGTTTAAAGACTCTTAACTTACTAGCAATGAGGTATAACTACTCCCCCTATACGAAAGCTCAGGAAAAATAAATAAATAAATAAATAAAATTCCTAATCTGCAGAAAACAAACCGCCTGCATTAATTTCAATGTTGAAAAAATCACTAGGCCCCCTAGGGGGCCTGGGATGCCGGGCGACTAGGGCGCGGTTTTTGCAAAAGTGATTAATTTATCTGATAACAATATCAACAATTTTTGCAACAGTGATTAATTTATCTGATAACAATATCAACTATGGAAGAAACCGGACAACAAATTTGCGGAATCTAATCTAAAGAACCGTAACATTGACTATCAAAACTCCGTATACCGATCCCTAAATCCAAAGCTCTATACTATTTTATTTTATTTTTAAAGGCATTTAATTTCATTTCAAACCCCTAGATCACCTGGACTGATTTGGGTCAGGGAAAACTAGAAATCAAAGAACTGTAATTCGAGTTACCTAACCGAAAAATAATCCGTAAAATACAAAATTATATAGGAAATTGAAAGATGAGGCATAGAGAAGTTTAGGATGGACCTCTTTGGAGTGGTGGAGGCACTCCAGGTAATCTTCTCTGAGAAGAGAGCAGTCCTTGGGCTCTCGGCAACGAGACATGCACTCACTGAAGTCCATCCAGAAATCATAGCAGCGGCCTTTGTTTCCCGTTATCCCCCATCCCGACGCCATACTCCGCCTCCTCGACTCTCCGGTGTTTGCCGATGATGAAAACTGCGACCGGTTCAACGGTTGCCGGTGTCTAGTGGATACGAGTTTTATGGAACCGATTGAATGGGCTCCAAATCTAGAATTTCGTAGTAGATTGAAAACCCAAAGCTCATTCAGTATGGGCTCAAATTATTGTGGTCTACGTTGCAACGCAGTCGTTATAGGCAAATTATTGTATGGACCATCGTCCACACAATGTTATGTGAACCATAATAAAATGTACATTTTTAATATATTAAATGTACATTATTTTTGTACTGAATGTACATTATACAATATAATGTACACTCAGAACAAAAATAATGTACATTTCCTGAATATAATGTACATTATTTTTGTACTGAATGTACATTATTTTTGTACTAAATGTACACTATTTTACAGTAGAAAAAATATGGTCCACACAACTTGTGTGGACCATGGTCCATCCAATAATGATTGGTTGTTATATCGTGGATCGCGGTACATGTGCACCGCGGTCAAAACGACGCCGTTTAGCGGAGCGCGCATTTTTTGATGTGTTAATTACTTTTGAAATTACAGTGTATCTAAATTGACATTACAGTGTATTTAATCGACATTGTCTCACGTATTATTTTATATATTATCAAATGAAATTGCAGTTATATAAAAATGATACTGTAGTTGTGGTGAAATGAAACTGTATATAAAATGGCACTGAATAACGTTTCACATATTTGAGTGTATATTGTGCAATGAAACTGTAGTTATATCGAAATGATCATGCAGTTGTGTTTTAATGAAACTATAGTGTATATAAAATAAAATTAAATAATATTTTCACATATTTGAGTATATAAAATAAAATTGTAATTATATCGAAATGAAACTGTAGTTCTGTTGAACTGAAACTGCAGTGTATACAAAATGAAATTGGATAACAGAGTTACTTTTTTAGGAATGGCGCGAAACAGGTGTCGTTTTTTCATTAAACAAAACGACGTAGTTTTGAAGCTCGGTGCATAATCGATTATGCACCACGGTGCACGATATAATTTGCCGTTGCAACGTGAACTAAACCAGAAAAAATGAATTTTGAAAAATAATTTTCTTTTTAGTGTTTGGTTGCATTTTAGAAAACTATCTTGTGTTTGGTTTACTTTTTAGAAAATGAACAAAATTGTATAATTAAACATTAGTTTTATTTTTTTAAAAATAATGTTATTTATAAAAAAATTTAAAACAAAGAACAATGATAAATGATTTCATAAAAACAATAAAATAAAATAAAATAAACAAAAAACAAAAGCCAAAACCCAGATCTAGGTTCCGTCAGAAACCAAATTTTTTGGTTTCAACTGGTTTCCATCAAGAACTAAGGATTTGTTCCTTACAGAAACCATTTGTGACAACCCAAAAATTTATTTTATAAATTCAGTTTTAAGAAATTTCAAAATAGTCAGTTTTCACTCCATAAAAATTTTTGCAATGAAATCGGTGTTAGAATAAAATATTTTGAACCATTTTTAAATGAATTCAACACCGGAACATGAAGCATGGTGAACCACACACCACTCCAAACCCCCTTGTCTGATCTTGTAGAACAACCACCAAATTACCACCTTACCATCAACCAATCATTGAGTATCTTTCTAGGGTTTTGCACCCATATAAAAGGAATAGTAAGCCAATATTTTCTCCTGATTCCACTCTTTGCTTCCCACATCTTTGAGCTCTGCAATCACAAGAAGAAAACACAGTAAGTTTCTTCAAGTTTTAGCCTTCATTTCCATACAGTTTTCTTTCTATTCTCTCTATCTCTGAGGACTTAGTAGTAAGAGGGTTGTGTGATTTGTTTGAGATGTTTAGGAGGTGAAGGAGGGTGTAGCTAGCTTGGGAAGAAGGTGGTATCCCAGCCAAGAGAAGAAGTCTACAAAGGTATAACCCCATGGACTCCCAAATCTATTTTTAACTCTGTGAAGTCATTGTTTGTGCTTAGACATGAGTAGAAATGCTAGAATAATGTGTGTTTGAGCTAGTAGAATGTGTTATTGCTGAGCTTAGATGTGTTGTTGATGTTTTGGGAGTGGTTATCTGCCTGAAAATGTCTTACAGGTGAAGAAGAAGCTCACTGGTGCACAACACAGTGTGCACCAGATGAGAGGCGGGACTAGCCAACGGCCCTAAGAGAGAGCCGTTGGCTAGGGCCGTGGAGGAGCGGCCCTAGGGCACGGCTCTAGGCAAGAGCCGTGGCCCTAGGCCGCCGCTTGGCAGCTCCAGGCGGCGGGGCTCCTCAAGCCCCGTTGAGCAGGAGCTGTGCAGTGGCCGGGCCCTTGCGGCTCAGCTACGTGTCGTTTCGGACCGGGACTCGCGGGCCCTTGAGGCTTGGACACTCGTGGCCGTCACGACGCACGTTTAGAATTTGATTTCATTGAATTTACAGTAGAATTGAGTATTTTGTGATAGAAAATGTGAAGAAGAATGTTACAGAGGTTGTTTGTGAAGGTTTACAGTGGAGGAAAATGCTAAGTGTTTGTTTTGGCTATTTATTTGAGAAGCATGAAAATTATATGAATGTTAGATAATGGAATATGATCAATATTTGTTAAGTTTTGCTAGAAAAGCATGTCTAGATGTCTAATTGACTTGTTGAGATGATTGCCAAGATTATTACAGTTTACAGAGCATGTTTTCAGTAAATAAGATTAAGTTGAGCATTTTGAGTTCAATAGCATGTTGAATACTTGCTAAGTGTTTGCTAATGAAGAATTGCTAAATTATGATTTATGAGCATGTTTATAGAGTTGTTGAGAATTTACAGTGAAAAGATAATTGAAGTTTATTCTACAGTAAAATGCATATTTGAGCATATCATGTTTTAAAATGAATAAATGGTCAATGTGAGCCTAAGTACTATTTTCAAATACTCATATCTATTTTAGAAAGTCATTCTCTTGTTGCATTGAGAAATTGTTGAGAAGTTATGTGCATAAGTTTGCATAAGTAAAGAAGTTGCATGAGATATATATGCTATCTATTGTGAGGCAAATAGTATTTTGGAGGCCCGTTAGGACTATGTCCTTTCGGAAGAAAAGAGCAAAGATCGGTTAAAAATCGACAATAGTGAAAGAAAGAAAGTAAAGCAAGAAACGGACATTGCGATCCGATATCATGTAACGCAACGTATTCCCACGTTACGAGGTTGGAAACTATCCGCCAGACTTGGAATCCTGGTTAGGGGATGTGCACACTGATAGTTCGATACTTGATTCCACAGAGTTTAAGAAAAGAACCAAGAGAGTGGTTCTACGGACGAGATGAGTATTAGGCTGGCTAGATGCCGAGCCCAGATAGGTCTATCCACCTTATGAAGAAGTCCTACATCGCATATGATTAAGAAAGCAATCGAGTCAAGAGACTCAAGAGAAAGAAATCGAGTCAAGAGACTCAAGAGAAAGCAATCGAGTCAAGAGACTCAAGAGAAAGAAAGCGAGTCATTGTGACTCTAAGAAACCTCCACATGAAATAGTATTCGTTTACAAAAGAGTGTATATGTATATCTATCTATATTTATATTAAAAGCATCATGTGTATTTTTATTGCATAATGAGTATGATTGCACTAGATTGCATAATGAGTATGACTGCACGAGATTGCATAATGAGTATGATTGCACGAGATTGCATAATGGTATGATTACACTAGAATACATAATGAGTATGATTGCACTAGGTTGCATAATGATTATGTGATTGATTGTATATTGAGTATATAATTGCACGAGATTGCATGATGAGTATATGATAGTACGAGCTTGATTTGAGATTATGTGATAGCACAAGATTGCTCGTTGGGTTATGTGTTAGCATGAGATTATTACTGAGTTGTTAGATAGACTTGAGATCATGGTTACGTTAAGTATGTGAAAGTATGAGCTTGAAGTTAAGCTAGATAATCGTGAAAGCATGCCTATTTGGTGATTAGGTTGCAAGTATTTAAAAACCCTGTTGAGCATGATAAACTGTTGTTGATTGATTGAGAATGTTTGATCTTAGTATGTGAAACAAATATTTTCCATAAGTATATACTGTAGTACTTTACAGGGTTGAGTGGAGTTATACTTAGCTTTATGCTAACGGGTTTGTTTTCTACTTGTTGTTTGTTAACCCCTTTCAGGTGGGCCCAGTTCGTGAGAGAGAGTACGAGTTAGACTAGACTAGCATTAGTTAGTTTTTGTAGTCTAAATTTTTGATGTTGATTTACTCTTTTGAGACTTGTAGATGACTACCCTATGTTTTTTATGGTGCTGGATACCGGGGTTTATCCCCTAGTTTGATTGATGTTTAGTAAGACTTTTATGTTTTAGTTGTTATCCTTAGCTTGTACAATCACCGTGAAGGGTGATTGTGACGGTGACACCTCTACTGAGTTCTTTAGTAAATTTATTCTGTTGTTTTAGTTTATCTTTAAAGGTTTAGTCTGTTAATTAAGTTTAAGAAAAGTGGAGTGTTACACTATTGATATGGCTTCATTCGAAGATGGAGTAGGCTACGATAGAAAATTACTTCCTTCAAAAAAAAGTGAACTCATAACTATTGATATGGCTTCATTCGAAAATGGAGCAGGCTACGATAGAAAATTACTTCCTTCAAAAAAAAGTGAACTCATTTTAAAAAAAAATGACTAAACAAATTTTTAACTTGCCCCACTAACTAAGTGGAGATTTTCAACTTCCTCATCCACCCTATTGCGCACCTACCAAACAAATTTTTTAACCAATAAAGAAAATTTTTTATTTTTAGTCTCTCAATTGTTCTCTACTAATTATTTTAATATCTAACTTTTTGTTGTTGCAATATATGTTCAAATTTTTTTTAAAATATATATATAAGTTACATTTTTAGTTAATTGAGTAACATAACCATTAAACTATGTTAGGGCCAAGTTTACTTAATTAATATATGTGTGTTTTAGTAATTTGCTTTTAGTTTTCTTCTTTATAGCATCTTTAGTTTTGATATTTCATATGCAAAATAAAGAATTGACAACCTACTTCATTAAATTTTCTCTTTTCAATTATAGTACAACATTCATGTTTCCCCCTATACAAACCTATTAAAATTAAATTCACTATTTTAAATATGAAATACATAATTTGAAGAGGGTTATAAGAAAAAAATTACTAAAATGTTGATGTACTCAATAAAATCCTTAAAAAGTTTAATAGTTTTTTTACTCTAAGGACTATTAAACTTGCAACTTATTTAAAAGTGACTAATAATGAATAGTTGAGAGACTAAAAATTTATTTTTTCATATTCTCAAAAAAAAAAAAAAAATTAGTTTTTCATAAATAGATTATAAATTAATAAAAATAAATTTAAGTGATAAAGAAAACTTATGTGACTTTAATGTTCATCTTAATTATAAAAAAGAATTAGGGATTTCAATTCTCATATACAAACAATACGGGATAAATCCGTACAAGTAATATGGATCCATCAGACAAAACGTATCAAAGTTGTTGGATCCCATTAATGTCGCAAATTATGCTGTGCAACCGAATGCACCATGCGCATGGTGCGTTCGATGCAAAACGACGTCGTTTTGGTTAAAAAACGCGCGTCCCACTTAAAGAAGAAATCAAGTTCGATTTCCGGCAATAGCATTTTTATATATCCATAAATTCATAATTATATATCCACAAATTCATAACTATATATCCACAGTGAATGAATGAAGTAAAAATCCACAATGAATGAACTAAATATCCACAGTGAATGAATGAAGTAAATACCTACAATGAATGAACTAAATATCCACAATGAATGAATTAAATATCTATAAATTCATAACTATATATCCAGAAATTCATAACTATATATCCACAGTGAATGAATGAAGTAAATATCTACAATGAATGAACTAAATATCCACAATGAATTAACTAAATATCCATAAATTCATAACTATATATCCAGAAATTCATAACTATATATCCACAATAATGTTATTGCCGAGAATCGAATTTGATTTTTTTAAGTGGGACGCGCGTTTTTAATCAAAACGACGTCGTTTTGCATCGTATGCACCATGACATCATAACTATTGCATTAATGTACCATCGTATCAGACAAAACCCAATTGTCGGATGTCCGTAAATTATTGTGTAGATCATGATTTAAATTGACGTCGTTTTGATGTAAAAAAAAAAATTAAAAAAAAAAATTGTTAGACAATAGTGGTTCTACGTTTATGTGTTAAAATAATAAAATTTTTGAAATAAGATAATATATTTTATAAGTTAGAATAATGTAGTTTATTATTTTTTTTTTAGAGGAGAATAATGTAGTTTATATGTTAGAATAATGTACGTTATGTGTTATAATAATGTATTTTATGTATTAAAATAATAAACCTTATGGGGGTAAGATAATGTATTTTATGAGTTAGAATAATGTACTTTATGTGTTAAAATAATGTATTTTATGTGTTAAAATATTGAACATTCTAAATAAGATAATGCATTTTATGAGTTAAAATAATGTATTTTATACTTTAAAATAATATATTTTATGTTTTAAAATAATATGTTTTTTTTGAAAGAAAATAATATGTTTTATGAATTATAATAATATGTGTTATGCTTTAAAATAATGTATTTTAGGTTATTTTGGAATGTGATTTATACCGCCACACAGCTGTCCACGCAATAATACTCCTTGGATGCCAATATTGCACTCGTTCATGAAATAGGCCAAATCTAATTTAAAGATGTAAAGATGTGAATCAAGTTTGGACCCCGCGCGGGCATCAGACAGGGTGATGCAATGTCACCCGCTATTTTCGTGCTTTGTACGGAAAGGCTCAACTAGCTTATTATCTCAAAAACGGACAGACAGTAATAAGTGGAAAGGCATCAAATTAGTGCCTAATGAACCTATCTTAACACATTTTTGTTTTGCAGATGATATGGTGCTTTTCACGGAGGCCATGATTGCTCAAGTACAGGTGGTTGTCGAGAGTTTTGTAGAATGTTTGGGCAGAAGATCAATTTGAGCAAATCCCAAGTGTTCTTCTCAAAGAATATAGGCCCTGAACTAGCGGATGAGATCGCAAATCGCCTGAATATCACCAACACCAAAGACCTGGGCAAATATCTGGGAGTACCATCCCTCCATGGCAGAGTTACTTCCAATACCTATTCGGATTTGTTGGACAGAATTTCTGGCTGCTTGGAAGTGTGGAAAGCGAAGACTTTGACTTTGGCAGGGAGAGTAGTTTTAGCCAAATCAGTATTGAACGCTATCTCAGCTTATACCATGAAAACAGCGGCCCTCCCTAAAAGCCTATAGCGGTTGTTGTCGCCAATGGCGTTTGCATGTCCTTGCAAAAATAACCATGTTTGGTTGGTTGGTTCGGCATGGAAGAATCCTCACAAATGCGGAGAGGTTCAGACGCAATCTAACGATTAATATGTGGTGTTTTCATTATGCAGGTCAGAGAGACTGTCCAGTTGCACCAACGCACAAGAGCTCGACTGAGCATTATTACAAATTTTTAAGAATAACCAAGAATTTCATCCTCACAACAGAACTATTAATTACAAACTTTATTTGTACTCCTCCCATCCCACCCATTTTGTATGAGTCACTGATGCATTTGAAATTATTTACCGTACGTTTAACTAATATATAGAGCTGTACAAATTAAAAAGATTTTACCGTACGTTTAACTAATATATAGAGCTGTACAAATTAAAAAGATGAAAATTGATTATTCAAATTGATCAACAACCACCAAATTAAAGTCCAAAACAATCACAAGATCAACCTGCAATAATGTACGAAGAAAGAACAAAAACAAATGACATGGAAGAACAAATCAAAACCTAATTAAACTGAAACAAACATATATAGAAACAAATTAATTTTTTTTTAACTTGGAACTAAGAAGCCGGGCTCTTCACTGTTCATGAGAAGCCTTCATCCATCTCATTCTCCATAACCCCTGGAATGATAATGCTTTTCAAAAGTAATTCTTGGTATATGCTCAACCTTCCAATGATCTGGTCCTCCCTCACTCATCCTTCCAATAAGTTCTTGAGTCGGGTCTCCTATACACAAGTATTTCAAATCAATGAGTTCACCCAGCCCTTCTGGAAGCACTTTTAGATTTTGACATCCACTCAAAGTTAGTGACTCAAGATGTTGCATAGCTCCGTCTCCTATATGGCACTTTCTAATTCTGAAAGATATCCACAGCTTCTTGAGTCTCGGAAAGCTTCTATCACTGCAAATTAACGTGTCTTCAACATACCTGCCGAGGGAGAGGAACTCCAGGACTGGCAGTTCCCCCAAACAATTGAAGAAATCCATGTTTACAAAACATACTTCTAAGTTGATTGAGCGAAGGTATGCAGCATCACCAATACTAGTAAACCTTGCAGATACAACAAACCCAAAAAGCTCCAGTTTCTCTAGCTGAGAAGGTGGGGAGAAATTACCGAATTGCAATATCTCATCATCAGCCGTGCACATCGCCCAAATCATTAGAGACTTAAGCTTTCCCATTTGTTGTGTAGAAGCACGAATATCACTCCAGCATTCCGCTTTCGTAAACTCAACTTTCAACTTAGTGAGTTGTTCACTGATGTTTACTAATTCTGTTGCTTGAATGGGAGTAACATCTATGCCATATAATGTTTGAAGTTGAGAAAATGTGAAAACTTTATCTGGCACTTTTAATTCTGTTCCAAAGATGTGTCTCAGCTTCGTAAGCTCTGACACGCATTCAGGCAAACGCTTCAAATGTGGATTATCTTCTACATCCAATGTCTGTAGATTGTGCAATCTTCCCAAGGAATCAGGGAGCTGACGGATCCCTGTTCTTCGCAAACTGATGTACCTAAGATTAATTAGATCCCCAACCTCATTAGGTAGACTCTCCACACTATCAGACAAACCTTCTAACACCAAAACCCTCAATAACTTAATGATTGGGAGCAGCTGAGGGAACGGAGGATTGAAATTAGACACTCCACCGATGATGAGTGTGCGTAGCTTAACATTTTCGCAATTGACAAGTTCAACTATAGGCGGCGCCACATTGTCCACGCTTACCAAACGCCTTTGCTTCGGATCACGAATGCTATTCTGATCCAAGATTTCAGCAAACATTTCCCTGCCAAACATTAAACAAGCCAAATCACGGAAAAGGTCATGCATTTCAATTCTATCAAAGTCATCATCAATTTCATCGGGAACAATCTGCAACAGGCTTCTGTTTCTGAGCTGATGGAAGTAATCCCTTGCTATGTCCTCTAGTGTTCTTCCACGAAGATCCTTCTCAATGACAAAGCCCTCCGCAACGCACATGTGGATCATGCTTTTGGCAGGGAGGTAATAAGTTTTGGGGAAAATCGCACAGTATAAGAAACAATACTTGAGGTGATTCGGCAGTTCATCATAGCTCAACAGTAGGGCTCTATTGATAGAACTTAGACTGCTTTCACATTCTGTGTCCAGATTCTTGAGAGCGTCCCTCCATTCTTTTGGATGATCGCCCTTTCTAGACATCAACCTACCAACAGCTAGGATGGCAATAGGCAAACCATCGCATTTCCTAACCAATTCTTCACCGTGCTCTTTAATCGTGTTATTAGGCCAGGCAGCAGGGGTTCCACCTCCACCTCCAGCAGATGTACTGGCTCTATCCGAAGAGGTTCCACCTCCAGCAGATGTACTGGCTCTAACCAGAAAAGCAGCTCTGCAAAAGAGACTACATGCCAAATCAAATTCTAATGGCTTCACCTCAACATAATGAGGTATAACCCCACCCGCAAGGAAAGATCCATCAGCTATCTCTCTGTGACGGCTAGTGATGACAATTGAAGATGCATGACCGCCTTGAATTTTGAGTTTTTTCAAGAGATTATGATCCCAAACATCATCCAAAAATAGAACATACCTCTTCCCCTTTAAGTAGTTGAGGTACTGTCGTTCAAGCTCATCTCTATCTGCATTCTCGAGCTCTGAAGGAGGCTCTTTTCTATCATTTTTGTACAGCCCATTGATTATTGTCTTCAACAGATATTTAATATCTGAGGAATGGTTCACATCGGCCCATGAACAACAGCCAAACCCACCATCATCCTTGACTTTTTCATAGACTTGCTTCGCCATGGTAGTCTTCCCTGAACCGCCAAGTCCCCAAATCGTAATCACCATGCTACAATCTCTACAATTCACAATGAGATCTGTCATATCTTTGACCTCATTGTCGATCCCCACTGCTTCAAACCCCTGTGAATATCCACGGTCCCAGTCTAATGACTCATTATCTCCCACATTTGTGTTAAGTTGTATGTCGCACTTTGATTTTTGTTCTTCATGATCACGCAGCTTCTGGTCGATGGCTTTTAGCTGCAGATGGAAGCAAATCTGCATCTTCACCCTCTTAGCGAAGCTCTGTAAGGTGGCGATGAGGGACTTGACTTCACAGAAATTGCAGGGAGGAGTATTGCGCTCAAGAAGCTCCATATCCACCATGATCTCCTCCAGCAAATCCTCAAGTTCAATTGAGTTCTTCCTCAGTTGAATCACCCAAATCTTTGCTGACGCCCTTTCTTGTTTCCCCCTACCCAAATCCTCAGCATAGGCTTTCAAGTTTGCTAGCCGGTCCATGTATCTTTGTATCTCAGGCTTGATTTGACAGAGGAATATAACTTCTTGGAAAACTAGCTCCTTGAACTTTTCAAAAATAAAATCAAATACAGCACCAGCCATAAGTACAGTTTCTCTGGTATGTATTCTGGAAAATCAGAGTGTGTAAAAGGAGTAATGCTCAGGGCATCTCCAACCAAACATAAATAGGAGGGAAAAGATAAGAAAATAAATGGGGAGAGAAGAGATTATTCTCTGACCAGAGATAATGAGAGAAGTTTATCTTCGAAAAAAAATATATTATATTGTCCTTATATTAATCAACTATTGATTTTTAAAAAAACTATCTATTTTCTCTTTAAATATATTATACGAGTACCAAGTATTTTTCTCCAAAAAAAAAAAAAAAAGAGTACAATTGGTACGAAGTACTATTTTTCTATGGATAACCGACTAAATAATTGCATGACAACAGAAACCCCAGTAATAATTACAGAGCATAAGCATACCAAATATAAATAGATTAGATTAGAAGCTGAGCTCCTAAAGTTTGTAAAGGAATTTAATGGTCACATAGGTGTTTCCAAACTTCCAGCAGTCTTTACACTATGATTACTAGACAGGTGAGCATTCTAGTTTGTATGACTAGTGTCTACCGAACTGACCCAATTGTGGGAGTATGCAGCGTGAAAACATAGGAGATGGGCACAGACAGCTGCATTTGCCTTTTGGGGATAACACCATCATCATAAAATTGCCCTAGACTTTCTTCATCAAAAGGGAATGACTCCCGGAGAAAGAAGAAACACTCCCTAGCCAACTTTTCAACCTGAAAGACCATCCATCATACACACACTGTAAATCGCACGTCTATTCAAGGAAATGAAAATAAAAACAATTTCCCATGTGCAAGTAGTGTGCAACCCACGTGCATTTCCCAAAAGAACAAAGAAAATTTGAACTACATTCGCTTCTTGAACCCGAATGCACACCCCAGATCCCAGTTCCCCTTCTCTTTGTTCCATTACCCATTGAGAGGGGTATAACACAGAGAAAGAGGGGGAGAACTAGTATATTTGTCTAGGCAAAAAGGATTGCTGAAATGTAAGCATAAGCCTAAATCCAAGTCCTCCCTTACTATGTGCAATCAAGGAGCATTAATGAGATGCCTGGGCATGAAAATGTAAAAGTACTGTCCACATGTCAACAGGACTCTGATGATTATGGAAGGAAAAGCAATACCTCTTTGACCACAGCTGCCAAACTTTTAGCCACTTCACTGTCCAAAAAATCATTTTGACCCAAAAAAGGCACAGCAGTGCACTTCCATATTTCATGGTCTTGTTCAAGGAGTTTGTTAATAATTAATGCACCAGCAGCATCCTCATACTGATCAGACATTAGATCACATGTATGCTGAAAATTGTTTGCATAATAATAAGATGGCAGGCCATCTGAATTAACCAGAAACTCGGGTCGATACCGATGAAGAGAACCTAGGATTTCATCATCTGCAAGAAAACTGTGTTCCATATAAAGGAAAACCAAATCTATCAAATTCTCTATGCACTTGGTAATTTCATCTCCTTCAGTAATCCCTCAAGTGCATCATGTATTATTCCATCTTGAAAATTTGTTGCAGATCCTGCAAGGAACTCATGCACATTTCCTTCAATGCTGATCCAACTACAACCGGGCTGCTTGGTTACCCCGCTTTCCTTCATGGAAGATCTCAGCCCTGAAACATTGTTCCAGTGATGATCTATGGCAAATGCATTGGACAGCATCACATAGCCAGCAGAGCTATGTGGATCCACCTGAACAAGCTTGGAAGAGATGAAATTGGCAAGTTCTAGTTTGTTATGAAGCAGGCAGCCAGCGAGCAGAGCCCCCCACACGAAATTGTTTGGTTCAAAAGGCATCGAGGTAACCACTTCAAGCGCTTCTGCAATGCAACCCATTCGAGCAAGGAGGTCAATGTAGCAAGCATAGTGCTCTAGTTTCGGGGCAATGGAGAAGCGCTGGCTCATCATCTCCTTGAACATCTCCCGGCCTTTCTGCAATAGTCCTGAGTGGCTGCAAGCACATAGGATGCCAAGGAATGTGCCAGCATTTGGTTTCAGATTGAGCTCTAGCATTCTGGCAAAAAGTCTCACCGCATTCTCCCCTTCACCATTGCTCGCTAGGCCCATGATCATGGCATTGAATGAGACCACGTCTTTTGCAACCATCTCATCAAACACTTCCCTCGCCCTCTCCAAACTCCCACATTTGGAGTACATATCTATCAACGCGGTTGCAAGGTTTTTGTTTGAAAGTACTCCAACTCCCTCTCGTTGCTGCCTCGATTTCATGTGCTCATGGACCGAAACACCAAGGTCCAAATCACCAACTTGAGCACAAGCTGAGAGCACACTAACCATTGTAATATGGTTGGGACTACACTTCCATTGCTCTGACATCAACCGAAAACGACTTATAGCCTCCAAAGCACATCCATTTTGGACATAGGCACCAATTATGGTATTCCAAGAAACCACACTTCTCTTCCCATCAACTGATATCTGATCAAACATCTCCCCACTCTTATCAACCTCTCCATATTTACCATACAAATAAACAAGAACAGTTTTCACAGAGTCAAAGCTAAAATCTTTCAGATCATAATGGTTAACTGTGTCTGATAATTTCCTGATCCAATTCTCAACCTGTACAAAATCAAGATTAGAACAAGCAGATAGTACACTAACCATAGTATCCTTCTCAGGTCTCAAATTCCCCTTAACCATTGACAAGAATATTGACAGAGCTTTCTCAGATTGACCCGACTTGGCATATCCCGAAATCAAACAAGTCCAGCAAGAAATCGCATCCTTTTGAGGCATTTTGTCAAACAATTTACAAGCAGAGTCGAAATCTTTCAGGGTCTTAGCGTACACGCTCAACAAACCATTACATACAAAAGAATTAACTAAAAACCCAAACTTTACAATGTGGGCATGAACCTGCTGAACATAAGTTGAATCACTGGTGCAGGTACAAGCTTTAAGGAGAAAAGAAAACGTCAAGTCATTGGGAGAGAGGAACTTTAACTTTTTCAATTTTTTATACACCAAAAACGCATCAAAATATAAACCCTCTTCAGACAACACTCGGACAATGGCGTTGAAAGGGAAAAGATTGGTCTTCTGCAGGTGATGGAAAACGCGGAGAGCTAGCTTCGACGGGTACTGGCCGACAAGGCGAGTAGCTACGAGGTTGTCTTGGTGTGCGCCAATACGAAAAACACGAGCGTGGATTTGGAAGAGATGAGAACTGGGAATCCGGCCTTGTAAGAGCTGGGAGAGACGGGCGAAATCTGAATTGGGTGAAAGCGAGTGCATGAAATGATAGAGAAATGGCCAGATAGAAGAAACATGCGCTCTCGAGTTGGGGAAATGAGAACGCTGGAAAATGTGCATCATCCTTTGTGTTTGTGGCTTCAACAACTACAATTTAAAAATAATAATAATTAAAAAAAAAAAAAAAAAAAACATGTTACATCTTCACCCATAAAAAATTATTGCTCCCGGAAATGAGTAATCTAGTAGGTTCCAACTCAACCCATTCATGGCAATTTATTGTGTGCACTAAATCCACAAAGTGTTGTATGACCATAACAAAAAAGTACATTTTTAATATACTAAAAATACATTATTCGTGTACAAAATGTACACTATATAAAATAATTTACTTTCATTGAATACAATATACTAAAAGTATATTATTTTATACTAAATGTACATTATTTGATTTGATAGTATGGTTCACACAGCTATGTCAGTTATGTGGACCATGGTCCACACAATGAGTTCTACTACATGTACTCCCAAATCTTACCATCGTTATACCATGCACCACAGTGTACATAGCAATGTGCGCCTCACGCCTCCCAAAACGACGTCGTTTTGTTAAGTTGTGTGGGGAATTAACGCAACAAAAATGTATGTGTATTCAGTTATAAAATTTTGTGTTTTCAGGTATAAAATTCTGTACATTCGAAACAGGAGATTTTTATCCTTTCAGAAAAGATAATGTGTTTTCAGGTATAAAATTCTGTGTTTTCAGTTATAAAATTCTGTGTTTTCGATTATAAAATTCTGTGTTTTCGATTATAAAATTCTGTGTTTTTAGGTATACAATTCTGTGTTTTCAGATATAAAATTATGTGTTTTCTATTATATAATTCTGTACATTCGAAATATGAAATTTTCAGTTATAAAAATCTGAGTTTTCAGGTATACAATTCTATGTTTTTAGATATAAAATTCTGTGTTTTTTATTATACAATGGTGTACATTCGAAACATGAATTTTTTTTAAGGAGTTAACGGCAAACACGCAAATGGCAACTTTATCACGCAAATGGCAAAGTTGCAAATTGAAGGGGCAACTTTGGTCTTGGATGATTAGGCCAATGCCAATCAGCCAAAATACAAAACGCTGGACACTGCAGCGTTTCTACATAGCTGATAGAGTAAATGGCAACTTTATCCCTTAATCACTAATCATTCAGTAACATACCTTCGCTGCTTCGCATCATCTCGCTTCCTTCGTGACTGCCTTCTCTGGTCTGCCTTTTCTCTCCACCGTCACACGCCATCTCCGATCCACCGCTTCTCTCCACGGTCTCTAATCCACCTCTTCTCACCTTTACGGCTTCCTTCTCCGATCCACCGCACCATGCCAATCATTGCTACCCTCGCTGATTGTCGCTAGTCCTACACACGGTGGCATCTCTTCAATTCGCACTTCGCAGCTCAAAATTAGTGCCTTATCTTCAATTAGTGCTTTCTCTTCAATTTTCAATTTAGGGATAATAATAATAATAATAATAATAATAATAATAATAATAATAATAATAATAATAATAATAATAATATAATCTTCTCAAAATAATAATAATAATAATAATAATAATAATAATAATATAATCTTCTCAAAATAATAATAATAATAATAATAATAATAATAATAATAATAATAATAATAATAATAATAATAATAAATTGTAAAAATAATTTAAGAATTAAGAAATTAATAGAATTCCCTTGATGCCCTTATAGGTCATTTTACCTCCCATCAACTAAAAGTAAACAACTAATTTACCAAACACTTTTTTATAATCCGTTGATACAATCATCTAGACAAATCAACTAACTCAATCAACTATCAATTATTAGTTAACCAAACCAGCTATAAGCTATCAGCTGATTGCCAAACACCCCCTATATCTAAAATTGCATGGTTGGTCCTAAAGAGTGGAAGATCACGTGGTAGGATGGCACGTGGTAAGATCGGGCAATTTATATCTAGTTGTTTAATCAATGGATCAATCAAAAATCATATATATTCGAATGATTATTTAAAATCCCTTATAATAGAGATTTACATATTTTGTAGTGAAAGGAACTGCAACCTCAGTTTTTATGTTTCTAGAATTTAAAAAGCAGTATGCTGGACCAATTAATATAGATGCCAAGGAAAAATTTCCTTTTTCTAAAAAATCTTTCAAATTAAACAAATATCAAAATAATCTAACAGCAATTTATTACCACTTACAAATATCAATTTTGCTTTATAATAGTATTACGATAATTTAAATAAATTGAACAAATGATTTTTTTTTTTTTTTACCGCGAATAGTGTTAATTTTACATTTAGATAGTAGGATTAAATTAATTAAGAATCGTAACATTATTCGCGGTTATTTAAATATTAAAATTGTTGTATAATCTTTAAATAATTCAAGTTTACATAATAATGTTCTTTTTAATTTTTTAAAATTATTACTGTAAAAACAATTTATGTATGTATTGGAGCATAAAAATTTTAAAAATCTTATGCATGCAAGTGAATCGAACCCATATACATATTTCAAATGCAAAAAAAAAAAAAATAAATAAATAAATAAAATAAATAATAATAATAATAATAATAATAATAATAATAATAATAATAATAATAATAATAATAATTTCATATTATTATCTAACCCTATAACAAAAACGATGTAATGCGTACAGTAATCAAAATATTTAGATCGAAAAAAATTAACTTTCGCGATAGGATTACCTTTAATTCTGTCTGAAATCGTGATTTTGAACTTTCGCAATGTAGGGTTTCTTTAGTCAAAAACAGTAACGACTTCCGAATCAAACGCAAGTATTGTGTAATTTTTGGGGTCTTGTGGATTATTTGGGAAGTATAAAGACGATTTAGAGTTTGATTTTGGAAGGGTGGAGCGAAATTGCTAGAAAACAAAGTAGAGAGATATGAACAGAGATGCTGAACGAGGAATTAAGGTAAAGAACAGGTGGCCTCAAACCTGTTTCTTCCATTTTATACGTGGGTCATGGGCCGGGTTTATTTTTGGACTTCAGAAATATTTGTTGGGCTAGGTCTGAGAAACTATACCACCATTAGATGAAACATTTTATATATTAGTTGGGCTATATGTTTCACTTATTTAAAGCTAAACTGAGTAACAATCCTTTCAAAAAAAAAATTGAGTAACAATAAAATTTTAAAATTTGTGTCCGTACATGGCACAGGTCGAATACTAGCCATGTAATTTTGATTTTTTTTTTGAAAGCCATGTAATTTTGATTAATTTGTAATACACATTCCCCTTATATATATTCAAATGTTAATAAATATTTTATGTCTTACTAATTACACATTCCAAATTTCTATATTTAATCTATTATGTATTATATATTTATACTAAATTTTAATACCAAATTATAATAGAAATCTCATTTCTTATAACTAATAAATAATACAATATTAACTTCTTATAATTCTTATAATATATTATTCAGATAATATAACATGCATTTTACATGTAATTTTTCGTGCATCGCACGGGTATCATGCTAGTTAATTTTAAAGGACAAATTCACCCAATGGTGTGGATCACGATTAAAAAGGACAACATTTTGATGTTAAGAAAAAAAAAAAAAAAAAACTTACTCCGTATACGTGTTAGAATAATGAATATTCTATGATAAGATAATGTATTTTATAAGTTAAAATAATGTACTTTATGTGTAAAAATAATATACTTTGTGTTAAAATAATGTACTCTATATGTGTTAGAATAATGAAATTTCTGGGGTAAGATAATGTATTTTATGAGTTAAAATAATGTACTTTATGTGCTAGAATAATTTATTTTATTAGTTCGAATAAAGTATAATGTACTTTATATTTTAAAATAATAAAATTTATGAGGTAAGATAATAATGGAGAAAATATCATTTTTATTCCCTCAACTATAATATATGTATCAATTTTAGTTCTTGACTATTAAAATTTCCAAATTATGTGCATGACTATTTAATCTGTATCACATTTGGTCATACCGTCAAATTTTCCAGGCAAGTCACCAGTGAGGCTAATTTATTTAATTTTTATTTTAATAATTTTTAAATTAAAAAAAAACTTTAAAAAATAAAATAAAATAAAATAAACGACGGTCACCCCACACCCTCCTCCTTCGTCTTTGCTGGAGGGGGGGGAGGGGGAGAGAACGCCAACCACCCCCTCCTCCTTTGTCTCCTGCAAAAACGAAGGAGGAGGGTGGGGTAGCCGGCATTTATTTTATTTTATTATTTTATTATTTATAATTTTTTAAATTTAAAAATTATTAAAATAAATTTTAAAATAAAAATTAGATAAATTACTCGGTCATCTAGTGACTCGGGCGGAAATTTTAACGGGACCAAATTTTTATTTTTATTTTCAAATAAAGCTTTATAAATGAATGCTATCAATTCAATATATAATTTCCTATATGACGGTCCAAATTTGAGGGAAAAAAAAAAAAAAAAACGGTGTTCTAAATTCATTATGTAAAATTTGCATGAAAATTTAAGGCTATGAATTCATTATATTAGGAATTTTGATTTTTTTTCCCAAATAAAGCTTTATAAAGGAGTGTTACGTTATGAATTCATAAAATGAAATTCCTATATAATGGTCCAAATTTGGAAAAAAAAATTGAATTTTTAAAATTCAGTATGTAATATAAAAATTTAACGTTATGAATTCATTATATTAGATTTTGATTGTTTTCCCAAATAAAGCTTCATAAAGGAATGTTATGAATTCATTATATATTTGGGAAGAATGAATTCATTATATAAAATTCCTATCTAATGGTCCAAATTTGAAAAAAAAAAAAAAACAAAAAAAAAAAACACATGAATTTTTTTAAATCAGACTTGTATACAAATTTAAGGTTATGAATTCATTATATATTTATATTATATTATATTTTTTTCCAAATAAAGGGTTATAAATGAATATTATGAATACATTATATAAAATTCCTATATAATTTTCCAAATTTAGGGGAAAATTGTATGTTTTAAATTCATTATATAAAATTCGTATAAAAATTTAAGGTTATGAACTCATTATATTGGATTTTTTCTACCCAAATAAAGCTTTATAAAGGAATGTTATGAATTCATTATATAAAATTTCTATATAATGGTACAAAGTTTGGAAAAAACTTGAATTTTTAAATTTCAAACTTGTATAAAAATTTAAGGTTATTAATTTATTATATTAGATTTTTTTTCCAAATAAAGCTTTATAAAGGAATTCCATGAATTCATTATATAACATTCCTATTCCTATTTAATGGTCTAAATTTGAAAAACAAACTTGAATTTTTTAAATTCGAAGTTGTATAAAAATTTAAGATTATGAATTGATTTTATTAGATTTTTTTTTCTAAATAAAGCATTATAAAGGAATATTAAGACATATATACATGCACCAAAGTCTACAGTGCATTGTGAACCCTAGTCCATGATATAAGGATTCAACAAATATATAGTATATATGCCTAAGAATAATTTTTGTTTTTTTGGGGAAGGGTATCTTACAATAAATTAAATATGGATATTTATATTTATGTTTATTCAAAATAAAATGTCCTTTGTCCTTGATATAAATTTATACATTAATTTGTGAGATTTATCTCTAATTATATACATTTACAATAAACTAAGAACCTTGTAATCTGGCGGCACCAAGTTACTTTTTTAACTTATCCCGCCTACCAATCCCAAATATTGTGACGAACATTTTTCATGATTGGTTTAGTGAATTGTTAAAAATTCATGATTCTAATGGGATAATGTATGCAGCTGCAATTCTATACTACATATGGCGGGCAAGGAATCGTGCGGTTTGGGAAGCATGTCTTCCGCGACCGGACGGGATTATACAAGTGATGCTGGCAGCCGTGCAATCTTGGTGCCAAGTTCATCCGGACTGCCGGCCGGAAGGAAGCGCCACGGCAACAGCACCCCAAACGCCCCAAGCCGTATTCCATGCATCCCATGCTACGCTACAGCCACTGCCGGATGGGGATCAACGGCTAGTATGCTACTTCGACGCAAGTTATCACCATGCAACGAACAAGGCAGCGGTTGGGGCGGTAATCATCAATGGAGAAGGCGCTTATGTCTCGGCCTTCGTTACTATGCTGCCTGAGTGTTTCTCACCACTCATGGCCGAGGCCGTAGCATGCAAGGAGGTTCTATCATGGTTACGAGACCGGGGCGAACACTCTGTAGACGTGTATACAGATTGTTTAGCGCTACAACAATACTTATCATCGACTACCTCAGTGCGTTCATATTCTGGCTATGCCATAGACAGATGCAGGACTTATATAGCTTCGTTTAATTATTGTCATATTAAATTTATTCCTATATCAGGTAATTATTTAGCTCATACTTTAGCAGCTACTGCTTCACATTATATTACTTCGATGTACTGGGACTATGTCCCACCTGACACTATTTTAGCTTATTTTGAGTAAAATGCCACACCGACCCCTTTCAAAAAAAAACTTATCAAAAAATTTAAATTAGTCATGTCACAATAAAAGTAACCTATCACCAATAAATTGAAGATAAAAAAGAGTGGTTTTTGGGTGACGAATTCAGTTTGGTCAGTCACGTGCACGTTCTAGCGCGTAGCGGATGTTCAGGAAAAGGTTTTGACAGGTGGGGCCACTGCTATTTATCTCCCGAAACGCGCGCGTATTGCAATACCAGAGTAGACTGCTTTGCTACAGCCTGCCAAAGCGAAGTCTTGCTTAGCACTGTAAACCACAGTCTTGCTTGCTTCCTTCCTTCTGATCACTTCTTTCGCCGGCGACGAAGAGCCGGAGGAGATGTCGACATCACCGACTTCATCGCACTCTTCTTCACTACCGGAACCGTTCTCATCGGGTTCCTCGTCTTCTTCATCATCGTCGACGTTCCCTCCTTTGCCTATAACCGCAATGAGGGAAAAAATCGTCGGAAAAATCCTAGAGAACCGCGTCACTCTTATCGTCGGCGATACTGGCTGCGGTAACGTCTAGCATTCTTTTTCCTCTCATTTTTCTCCTTGCGTTGGGCCTTTGTTTATGTGTTTTTTTTAATCTTCATTTTTTACTCCGTATAGTTGTTTCCCCCCGTATTATCCCCGTAGTTTTCATTTCTTTGCATCTCTATGCTAATCGCTGTTCAAATTACACATTTATAGTCATAGAACTATCCGACAAGAGTCAGGAATGACCGAACGATGAAATTTCAGATAAGTAATCACAAATGAAGTTATCTTGTCACTGGCAGGTTCACCTGGACGGAATTGATTTTATTTCCAATCGGAAGGAAATGAAAGGAGAATTATGCCTTAGGACATGAGAGATCAAAGTAGTAGTAGTATGTGAATGCAATATTTAGTCTCCAGGGTTTGGCTGTGAACATATTTGATTTCAGTATCATCAAACATGACAATGTTGATTGCTTGAGAATGTAGAAAATCTTCCAGTGCTAATTTGTTCTGCCAATAATGCATCCATCAATACAGAATATAATTATATATGATGATGCCTATGAGTAGTTGCTTACTGATTTTCTCTGCTAGGGTCAAATCCTGTGAACATATTGTAGGAATGCATAAAAGATGATTTCTCATTATTGTATTCATTGTTATGAGTCAATTGACATGATCAGCTTATTTATTTCTTTACTTTTTGTTTAACAATAAAGGGAAGAGCTCCCAAGTCCCTCAGTTTTTACTAGAAAAGAATTTGGGACCCATACTGTGCACACAGCCAAGGAGATTTGCAGTAGTAGCTGTTGCTAAAATGGTTGCAAGGGCTCGCAATTGTGAAGTAGGGGGAGAGGTCGGGTATCACATAGGGCACTCAAAGGTCTTCTCTGCAAGGTACTCTTGTTGATCAATTGACAGATGTGTAACTCATCCATGGTCTGGCTGAATCACATTCGCTTTTTGAAAT